TAAGGGCGGTTGGACAGTGGAACACACTCCCTCGGAGAGTAGTGGAGTCTCCTTCCTTGGAGGTCTTTAAGCAGAGGCTGGATGGCCATCTGTCAGGGATGCTTTGATTGGGAGTTCCTGCATGGCAGGGGGGTTGGACTGGATGGCCCTTGTGGTCTCTTTCAACTCTATGATTCTATGATTCTATGATTTATTTATTCAGATGCCTGTAAAAATGGTCCAGTCATGACTAACTAGTACAGTCAGTATTATGAATAAACTGATTCAGCTTTCCCCATCTTTCTTCAAAGAATCCTGGTTATTGGGCAAGATTCCTTTCCCATCTCTGTTTTAAAATTGCCTCCTAATCTGATATATTGCTTCTGCTGTATCTAAAGTAATTTTTATTGGTTGTATATACTAATATGCTAATGCTAATATATTTGCAATGTACTAATATTCCTGTGTGCTTCATCCCTTTAGTAAATAAATGGGTCTCCACGTATCTGTATTCTCTTCCAGCTTCCAGTCTCTGGGGAGTTCAGCCAGGATCTCCGGTGAGCAGTCTCCACCGCTACAAGGACAGCAGCATCCAAGCAGCAAACAGGTAAAGATTTAGAAAAGTCCAAACTACTTGTTTGCAAATGCTTCTGAAGAAGCAGACTTAAATCTACGAAAGCTCATGCTGCCAACTTCTTTCTTTGAGTTAGTCCCGAAGGTGCTACAAGATCTGTGTGCATACTGATTCTTCAGACTAATATGGCTATTCTTCCAAACAACTTGTGCAATTCCTTGGAGCTCTGTAGATGTCTGTTTAGCACCATTAGTGCTGCTCTGAGTAATTTGTCTTAGAAAAGTGGCTTTCATTTGGCATAGGTCTCTGGCCCTAGGCAAAAGTGTGCAGTGGGGAAAGAAAAGAAGGAACGCTGAGAAAATGGTAAAGAGAGATATTGTGAGCAAGTGCAGTTACAGGAACATACTTTGAAGGTGTACTCCTATTTCTTTTAGCAATTAATTTGTTACTGTGTGCCTTCAAGTCATTTCTGACTTATGGCGACACGAAGGCGACCTCCCATGGGGTTTTCTTGGCAAGATTTATTCAGAGGGAGGTCGCCATTGCCTCCTTCAGAGGCTGAGAGAGTATGACATGCCCAAAGTCACCCAATGCGTTTAATAGCCGAGTGGAGAACTGAACCCTGATCTCTAGATTTGCAATCCAATGTTCAAACCAGTTCTCCATGCTGGCTCTCTACACTGCAGAATTAATGCAGCCTGATGCCGCTTTAACTGCCATAGCTCAATGCTGTGGAATTCCATGGCTGAGCCAGGATTTGAACTCTGATCTCCAGAGCTGCAGTCCAACCATTCAGACCACTATGCCACACTGGCTCTCTAACAGTTAGGTAGCCAAAATTATTTTCTCATAATCAAATCCGCATTCCAAAGTGTTTTCTTCATGCACGTATGGATTTTGCAAAAGGAGTGGTTGGAGATCAGGGTTTGATTCCCTGCTTGGCCACGGAAACGCACTGAGTGAACTAGTGTGAGTCACATACTCTCGGCCCCAGAAAACCCTGTGATAGGGTTGCCATGAGTTGGAAATGACTTGAAGGAACACAATAATGATTATATTTTAAACTGATTTCCTCTCCAGCGCCCTTGTCCTGCTCTTTCCCATCTCATGTTAGCCGAGAAGTACCATGTCTGAGGTTCTAACAATGGCATATTCTTGGTGAAGGCTCTCTTCTTCTAACTCTATAAGTTGTGTAGCGCCTGCTTTTGCTGCCCTCTTCAGGCTCTTACCTGTTGGCTTTCCTCCTGTGTTGCAGCCCAATGTTTTCTTGCACGTGTCCCTGCAGGTAAGCTGCACACCTGGCTGGCGATGTTTGTTTGTTCCTACCTGGTGTTTCTAAGCAACATCTGGGAGCCGGGGAGGCAGAACCAGTTTAGGGAGATGCTCCTTGCATCTTTTGGAAACAGGAGGTAGGGTGGTGGCATGGGAGGCTGCCTCCCAAATGCCCCGCTTGCCTCTCCTTATTCTTGGGATCTGTGAAAGGATCTATTCAGAACAATCCCTGGCTGCCTCAGGCAAAGTTTATGCAATTGGGAATCCCTGAGCCAAGTTCTGCAGCATCCTTCCATCCTGAGATAGCTTTGCAGTGGGGTCTGGAGAAGCTTAGTTGTTCATCTGAGTCGGTGGTTTCCAAAGTTTGGTCCTGCAGGTCTTTTGGACCTCAGCTCCCAGATTCCCCAGCCATTTTGGGTGAAGTTCAGGCATTCTGAGAGCTGAGGTCCAAAACACCTGCCGCATCAAAGTTTGGGAACCACTGAACTGAGTGTTGGCTGCAGTCTTAGCAGTTGTCTATGTTTATGGTCGCTTTTAATAATTTCACTGTGTTGTAATAATAGTAGTACAGTAATGGTAGTAGTAGTAACAACCAGCAACAACAACAACAATTATAAATAGCATTTATTTATAACACCCTTTTCACCAATGTATAATCAAAAAGGAACGATAAAACACAACCTTATAAAATGTTAAAATACTAAAATACTATACCAGCGGTTCCCAAATTTTGGTCTTCCAGATAATTTGGACTTTAGCTCCCAGTATTCCTGAATTTTTGCTATTAATAGATTTTAACAGATTATATTTTTTAAACTGTGCTAAGTTTGATTCTTTTTTAAGAAGGGAGGGGTAAGATCAAGTACTGTTATTACATATTGTATTGGTTTGTTTTAACATGTAAGCCGCTCTGATTGCTATTATAGTAGAAAAGCGGGATACAAATAAAAGTTTTATTATTTCATTTATGTTCACTAAGCTGGCTGGGGCTTCTAGAAGCTGAAATCCAAAACACCTGGAAGACCAAAATTTGAGAAGTGTACTAATGTACTAAAAACATTTGCTACCCATCTCGGCTACCTTAGGCACATTTAGCGACTTAATCCATCAAATCAATTAGGAAGGTCTTCAACCCTTTATTAAAGTGGGTAAGATCTTCCTCCAGCAAAGGAAGACTGTTCCACAAATGTGGAGACAGATCCTGAAAGGCTCTCTTTCCCATTCCTCTTTCTTTAGTTTAAATGCTGTTTAATTTTTACTTTCCCTTCATAGAATCCCTTTGCCATCTTCTAGACTATGGGTGCATCACCACCATAGAAATAAAGCAGTTTGACACCACTTTAAGTGCTGTAGCTCCATCATATGAAATCATGAGATTGGTAGTTTTACAAGCCAAAGAGTGCTGCTGCCTCACTAAACTACAAATCCCAGGATTCTGTAGGTTGGAGCCATGGCAGTGTCAAACTGTATTATTTCTACAGTGTAGAAACCGTATTTTTCCAAAAGAAATATAAGTCTGTTTTCCTGATCCACGAAGAGTAAATATGCCATGGTTTATTAGTAAGGCTGGGTGGGATCTGAAGTAATAGCAAGTGAGGACTGGCACAGAGTGGTCCTAAGTTTCCAATGCAGAATCTTTTTGAATTCTATAGAATTTGCAAAAATTTATTTTAAGAAAAGCAGCCTTCCAATCATTATGACAGCACTGAAGAAGTTGATAATTTGTGGCCAGTTTTCCCCTTCTGGATGCTTGCAAACCAGAATTGCCTTCAGTGGGTAGGCTGTTTGAGGAATATTTCCTGGTACTTTCCTCCACATCCTTCTGTCCCTGTCCTTTCTTTTCTTTTCTTTTCTTTTTTTACATAAATATTATTTTCTCTTTGCTGGACTCTTCTTTTTTGTGAATACCAGTGCCAGTCACTATGGGGGATGGAGGTGGGGGAATAGTGGAAGCAAAAGGTTTAACACAATTACAGACTGTGCAGTTGTATAAAGCATGCAAATTAAGTCTGCAAAGGCTTGTCTGTCCCCTTTGTATAATTTGAATTAAAGAATTTTTGCTTTTGGCCTAGCAGACTGTTATTTGTTGACTTAGATCAATAGCCTGCCCATGTCCTGAAGGTTTTGGGGTGGGTGTTGAAAGCAAAAAATAACACTCTACTTATCCAAAATAGAACTTAAACACATGTTTAAAAGTTTTTAAAAATTCCACCCTTTCCTCATTCAGTTCTCATCCATGAACCTGGCGCACAGGTTTGTCTTAATGCTTCTGAATGGGGGTGCTTAGGCTTGGATTAGCGCGGCTGAATCCGATGGAGTTTTCATACTATCAGTGCCATTCTTTGTGCCCTTTAAAACATGGCACAGCAGCATGGTGTTGGGGTTAACACATGTCATATTTGAATGTGAGCTATTTTAGTATAGTGACTAAGAGATTATGAATCAGGAAATCCTTGGTATGAATCTTGTCTATGCCACGAACCATCGTGGTGCACCCAGCCAAGCCATTCTCATTCAGTTTCAGTCCCTAGCCCACTCAGATATATAATTTGTGGGGTGACAATATCAACATTGTCTTATTTGCAAAGGTTTTTGTAATGATTGCAACTAGATAATGTGTGAGAAACTCCCCCCATGGTTGGAAGCACTGTACAAATGTTGACTGGAATCCTGTTGGGGACTCATGTTTTCATAAGTGGATTTACTTTTACAAGAATTAGAATTGGGCAGTTCCATAACATCTGTATCCAGTAAAGGACTGTTGTTATGTTATACATAAAGAAGTTGACAAAGTGACCCATGTGCATTGGGACCAATGCACAATAGGACTAATGTTCATCGGTCCCATTGTGCATCAGGACACCGGCTAGCGAGTGCCAATGCGCATTGGTACAGCCCATGGTGCACTGGGACACACTTGCTGGTGTCCCATTATGCATCTTCACAGTTCACTAACAGGGTTTCTTAGCACTTCTGCTATGTAGCTAAGTATGCACAACCATGACTGTTGTTATTGCTGCTGTTGTGTGCCTTCAAGCCGTTTCCAACTTGTGATGATCCTAAGGTGAACCTATCCTGGAGTTTTCTTGCCAAGAGTGATTCAGAGGAGGTTTGTCACTGCCATCATCTGAGGCTGAGAGCATGTGACTTTCCCAAGATCACCCAGTGGGTTTGATGGCCAAGCTGGAAATTGAACCCTGGTCTCCAGAGTTATAGTTCAGCACTCAAACCACTGCTCTATGCTGGCCATAATAGAGAATTCTATTATTTATGTCAAGTGTTGTTCGTTGCAAATAGGCACCTTGTCCCTGAATGCACGTCTTCTACTGCTGACTGGGAAGCTGTGTATTTGAACTTTTCTGGGCCTATCAAGTGGGTTTTGGAGCCAGTTTCCCTGGGGGATCCTGCTGGAATGCCCATGTCTTCCCAAGAAACCTATTCCTTTCCTCCTATGGTCTTGGAGCTCTTTGTGTCTGCTCCTGTGTGTCCTGGCATGTCCCTCTCCTGTTGCTTTTGGGTTGGGTGGTGCTATTTGTTTGCTTGCTTTGGCTCCAGGGGTTGACTTGGTGTTTTTGCTATGTTCTGGGGCTATTTTTCAAGCCCAAATTGGGAAGGGAGGTTGGCTCCAGAATGGGCTTGCCAGCTGGCACCTTACTTGCCCCAGCCCCGCAACCCCTTGGCTTCTCTACTGTGTTTTTCTTTCCTTTCTAGCATTTATTTGCTTTATTACTTGGCTCTGTTGGTTGGCCTCCTCCCTACCCCAGCGGTTTCATCAGTGCTGGGGGATGAGATCGGAGTATTGGAGGGTGATTAGGTGAGGCTTAGGCTTGGTTTGTTCTCCCTTATCTTATTTCCCCCAGAAAAAAAAATCCTTAGCTGTGCATTTCTCCAGATGGGGAGAGAACAGCAATTAACCTAGGAGAAGTGCCACTTCTTATATGAGCTGCAAAGCAAAGAGGAACCATCTCTGGGCTGTCTTTCCTTGTTCCTTGCTCTTCCTAATGGCCAGAGTCTGAAAGTTTTGGTGACACAAAAGGAGACCGATTGAGGCTCCCACATTTAATACATGTGTGCTCCAGCTTGGATAGATGAATTCTGAACTCACCCTTGTAACAGCTTGACTTGAGATCTAGGACCTTGCTGTCTGTTAGGTCCAGTATCCCACTAAATGTCTCCAGGAAACCTACAGGTCTGATGTGACTCTTTGTTACCCTCCAGAAAGTGGGATGCAATGGTGTACTGGTTTTGAATAAGGAAATACCCTAAAAGCACCTGATCTTGGAAGCTAAGCAGCCTCAGCCCTGGTTAGTACTTGGATAGGAGATGGCAAATGAATGCCAGGTGCTGTAGTCTAGATTTCAGAGGAAGGAACTGGCAGAACCATCTCTGAGTATTCCTTGCCTAAGAAAACCCTATGAAATTCATGGAGTTGCCATAAGCTGAGTCCAAGGCTACAGTCCTGAATGATTTCAGGATTAACATTGCATGTTTTGAGATTTTATTGCCATGGAACTGTCACAGGTTGTCACTAGCCTGACACACAGAAGCTGACATCTCCCACTGGTAAAACCATTCAATCAATTGTTGAATGGTGAGTCAGCACATAGGTAAATCCCACTGATTCAATGGGTCTGCTGTAGTCAGGTCTCCCAACCTGAGTTAGGCTAGAGCAGGCCATACTCTTGATTTAATCTTTGCTCCAGTAAAGCTGTCGCCATTTGGGTAAATAGTCTGAGAAGACAGACGTCTTGAAATCCTGTCCTAGCTGTGCCCACAGTTTACTGGGATCATCCTGGGGTTTTGGGGTTGGAGGTCAATCATATGTGAAATTCAAAGCTGGCAAGCCTTAATGTTATGGGTCTTCTGTGCTGGAGGGCTTTTGTGAATTTGTGTGTTTGGCAGGTTTCCTGAACTGGAGAGTCTGGCAAATCAAGTCATTTAGCAAAACCACATGGAACGGCATGAATAGTTACATGGAATATCTGTGTGGCTTGAATTATTCCTTGGAGTCAACTGTGTATTATAGAAGATGGGTGGGCGCTATAGAGCCAAAGACTCAGTCTTTGCTTTGAGGGCTAAGGAAGGGTGGTGAGGTCCAGCTTCAAAATCTTCAAAATTTCTAGCATGGAAGGAGAAATTGTCTCTTTGTTTTTCTGGTGGTAGGAAAAGTAGATCCTATAGAAATACTGATTAGTATGTTTCTGTCAAGGCTCTTGCATGCTGCTGCTCCCAGAAACATTTGCTTCTACTTAGGAAGAGGTTTCTTCTTTCTTCCATCTCCAAGGCCCTTAAGTAGGAGCAGATGCAGTGAGGGGTGAAAAATATTTTTGAAATTATTATCACCGGACTAGCAGTACTGTGCCTTGAAAATAACAGCCTTCATGGGGGTAGGAAGAGAAAGGTAGAAGACACGCAAGGAAGATGACAGGCAAAAGAGTTCCAGGTTATTGGAGGGGGTAAGGGATTAATGTTATTATCCACCACCCACTATGGTGCCTGTGCTTCTCCAGGGATTGCTGGCTTTGTCTGTGTGATCAGTATGTTCTGCACACTTGCTTAGCGGTAGGATTGAGGTAGAGGTGGGCATCCTTTTAGGACTGGCATCAGCTCTGAGCATTTCTGGGTGGCTGCCAGACCCCCCACAACTGCTCTCACTGGACCTGGCACCGGTCTTATGATATCTGCACCAAACAGATAAATTTGTGAGTTGGCCACCATTTTGATTACCTACAACACCTTGTAATGATGATGTGGTGGGGCCTTGTGGGTAATCAAAAAGGATGGCTTGATGCAATCTAGTACAGACCACAGTGCTACTCGCTTTCATAAGCAGGTAAACCTGCAGTGGAAGAATCATAGAGCTGGAAGAGGAGACCCCAAAGGTCCACCAGTCCAACCCCATTCTGCCATGTAGTAACATACTATCAAAGCACTCCCGCTAGCCTCTGTTGAAAAAACTCCAAAGAAGGAGATGTCACCATCCTCCAAGGAAGCCTATTGAACAGCTCTAACCTTCGGGAAGTTCTTCCTAATGCTTAGATGTAATCTCTTCCTGTAATTTGAATCCATTGCTCTGTGTCCTAATCTCTGGGGCAGCAGAAAACAAGCTTGCTCCATCCTCAATATGACATCCCTTCAAATATTTAGACATGCCTATCATGTTGCCTCTTAATCTTCTCTTCTCCAAGCTGAACATACCCAGCTCCCTAAACCACACCTCATAGGGCATGGCTTCCAGACCTTTAACTATTTTGGTCACCCTTCTCCGCTTGTCAGCTCTTGAATTGGGATGCTTAGAACTGGACACAATATTCCAGATGAGTCTGACCAAAGCAGAATAGAGTGCTACTATTACTTCCCTTGATCTAGACACTACACTCCTATTGGGAACTTACTGGGAACATACTGGCTTGGGAACATACTGGCTTTTTTAACTGCTGCAGCACACTATTGACTCATGTTTAGCTTATGGACTACTTAGAGACAAAACCAGAATGGCTTTGTTGAGGAAGGGAGCTCAGATCTGAACCCCATCTGCTCCTCAAAGTGTCCCTCTCCCTGCCATAGATTTACCAGTTTGTGAGTGTCAGTAGCACTGCAATATTGGCACCAGTCTTAAAAGTGGCTGGCTAGAGTACTGGCCAGCCAGAACATTTTCATTCAGAAGCCTGGGCAGTTTGGAGAAATAGGGGTGTTGACTATAAAATAGTGGTGATGAGATGGCGTGGTGCTTAGGGTGAAGTTATGACTGAGTTTAGACAATCAAATCCTGATTCAAATCTTGCTTATCCATAAAAGGTGGCCTTGGACCAGTTCCATTTTTCTCAACTCAAGGCTTGTCTACACAATTAAAATACTCCTCATTCTATGCAAAAACATGCAATTCTGAGGAGTTCAGGCTTTTTGCAACTGCACCCCCAAAAACCTCTACAAACGCCATAGAAAAAAGGCTTTGCTCTTTTTACCATCATAGCTGCTAGTATCCACAAGCATTATCAAACGTATGGCTGTCTGTCTGCTTCACATGGATTTGGATAGCTGTGCTTTTTTTTTTAGCAGAGAGAGGATGAATAGATGCAAATAGATGCGAATTTGTGCAGGAGAATGAAGACAAACGCCAGTTCAAATGTGCAAAAATCCACAGCATTTCGCTAGTCTCCTGCCCAGATTAGTTTGGATAGGAAGAGACCATATAGACTATGAATTCCAGAGAAGAAGGGCAAAATGAAAGTAATAAAGAAAATGCAGTTCTTCTTTGCCTTGGGGTGAATTTGCCTTTGGTCTACTAAACCAGATCATAAGACAGGAATGTATCCCTGACTGCTTGCTATGTAGCTTGGAAAAACATTCACTAAAATGGCTTGACCACCTACCCATGTAATTCACTTATGACCCAAAGTACAAAATGGGGGAGTCAATTTTATATATTTTCTAAACACCTGCAAGCAGTTTTTACAGAAAAGCCATTTGGTTTCTGTGGGTTTGGAAGTTGTCACCCCATCACTCTCTCAGCACCCGAACAGAGTGTTAGTTTGTTTTATGAATATATATTTTTACCTTTAATTTCCCTGTTTTTAAAAAGGACCACAGTAACGTGTGACAAAATAAAAATATATGTAAAAACAGAGCAAAAATGCAGCAAATGTAGTCAAGAAATTAAGGCAGCAGCCGAAACATACACATCTTTAAATATGTAGCTCCTCAAGGAAGCTGTTCCAAAGCCTAGGAGTTCTTCTCCATGGATGCTCCCAGGCTCTCAAACTTCCTTCCCATCCATTTTGTCAGCAGGTGGAAATATTTTTATTCTAGGAGGTCTTATGGAACTGACTGTTTTACAAGAAAAATGACTTCTCTTTGTGTATTGTACCACTTTTTATCCTTTGTTTTTTAAAAGATTTTATATTGTTTTATTCTTTAGACAGTTTAATGCCATTTTAAATCAAACTTTGTGTAGTTTTACCCACTTATGAAAGCGAGTAACACTGTGATCTGTACCAGATTGAATCAAGCTATCCTTTGCGATTACCCACAATTTTCTTTGTTTAAAGAACAACAACACAACCCAACAACTTTGCATTCATTTTTGTCTTGTAAGCCACCTTGAGCTCTGGCTGTGTTGAGAAAATGGAGTATAAATAAAGCCATACAGGAAATATATAGACATATAGAGTGTTTGTGTGTGAGGAGAGGAATTGTATTATTGTGGAGGAGGGAGGAGGAAGGGACCTGACCTAGATACAGCTGCAGAGAAGGCCTTCTCTGTCCTGAATCCCAAACAAATGCAATTCAGATGTTAGTGGGATGCAAAAGGGAACCTCTCCAGAAGATCTTAATGAGCAAGCCAGCTCATATGGGTGGAGGCAGGCCTTTAAGTATTCTATTTCTAAGCCCCTTAAGGCTTTAAAAGTCATAATCAGCACTTTGAATTGGGTCTCAAAACAGGCCCCCAAGTCACTGTGGTTGCTCTACAGTACTAGAAGACTCACATGCTCCTAATATTTAGCTCCAGTTGGCATTCTGGCCCATCTGAAATGCCATGTAGACGAAATTTCAGTAACTCAATTGGGATCTAAGGAGGGCATGTGTCAATGTGGCCAGATCCTCTCTTTTAAAAAAATGGGCATGCCAACCTAAGTTGGCACTCCCAATGTCCACAACTGCCCCCTTGGCATCCTAATTCAAGTCCAGATCTAGGAACACACTGGCTTTAAACCTTAGTCTTCCCAGAAACTATTACCATGACCAAGAGAGGCTGAACCTATATTCCAAGAGTACTGGTCTACTCATTAGGAGCACCTCTGTCTAGGTTTAAGTTTCAATTTGTTTGGTTCCATCTAGTCCATTAAGTTTATCGCACAGCACTTGCAGGAATCGGAACTGAACGGAACAGAATGGAACGGAACGGGGCAAGAACGTATGTTACTGCGTATAAGAACGCCACCAATGCCGCCGGGAGTCCCCAAGCTGTTCCCCAGCCATTCTTGGCAGCTGATTTTGGAGAATGATTCAAAATTGTTCTTCAAAATCATCTGCCATAGCATGGATAGGGAATGGCTTGGAGACTCCAAGCGCATCAGTGGCATTCTTCTGTTCAGTAACATGCGTTCACTTTCCATTCCCATTCCTGCAAGTGCCCTGCGATAAACTTTCATGACTAGCTTCAGGGACAGGTTGTGCCTTCTTAAAATGGCATGGAAAGGAAAGAGAGGCCATCCATCATCATGGTCTGCATGTGAGTGGAAGTGCCCTCCATATTGTCAGATAACCGCTAACAGTAGTTCAGGTGTTGCCACATGGAAACAGAATTTGTACTGAAAATGGGAAGCTGTCTCTAACCAAATCTGTTGCTGAATGTAGGATGTTCTGCATCCAAAGTGTGTGTTCCATCACAAAGCTTTTGAGAAAATTATAATGATATGCTGAAGCCAACCATATCTAAGCTCAGAGCACTGTTCTGCCAGTTGTCCTGCTCAGTTGTGGATTGTTTCAGCATGCCATCATATTCATTCTTCTTGAAAGTAATTTTCCAGCACTGAGCTGTTCTGCCGCATTGGGTCCCTGTTATCTGCACTGAGCTGTTCTGCCTCATTGGGTCCCTGTTATCCGCTGGAGTTTGGTTTCAGGATTCCCCATGGATAACAAAATCCATGGATATTCAAGTCCCATCAAATATAGTGGCATAGCAAAATAGTGTCTTTTATATAAAATGGAAAATCAAGGTTTGCTATTTGGAATGTATACTTAAAAAAAACATTTTCAAGCCATGGATGCTTGAATCCATGGATAAAAAAATCCGTGGATGAGGAGGACCGACTGTACTTTATTTTACTGCCTGTGAAGCTTGTGGCACTTATGCTGGCCAAAGAAACCAGGAGCTTCCATCTCTTGGATTGGACCAATGATCCACCTAGGCCAATATTGTCTGTTGTGATTGTCAACAGTGCATACTGGAGAACTTGAGCAAAGGTTTTTCTCATTTACATGCCATCACCCTAGCTGTGGCTGCATGCCTCTTCCAACTCCGCCGTGCTGCTCTGATCTTCTGTTGGGGTGATGGACCTTGTCTAGAAGACCTGGGGCGCTCTCTTCTGGTCAGTGCCTTGCACTGAAGCAAACAGATGTCAAGGTTGTGGAAGGATGACCTTTGACTACTCCTGCTGGGCAGTGAGATACGTCCACCCAAATGCTTTAGGGGAGGCACTGACTGTTTGAGCTTAAGGCTGAGTATAAGCATAAAAATATGAAAACTTTGTCTGTATTTCCCCCCTCACCAGGCCTTGGTTGTTGTAAAGTGTCATCAAGTTGACTGCTACTTATGGTGACCCTATGAATGAAAGACCTCCACATCACCCTGTCCAGGTCTTGCAGACTCAGGGCAATTGTGGCTTCCTTGCCTTAGTCTATCCATCTGTAATGTGGTCTTCTTCTTTTCCTACTGCCTCCTACCTTACCAACCTCAAACAAAAATCCACTAAACAGTGAAACCTTTATTGGCCAAACAAAATGCACAGTATACTTGTTGCAAGCATTCAAAGCTCCACTGGCAAGATGTTACAAACCAAACAGGAGAAAAAATTGGAGATGTGAGTCAGATGCCTGCATTTTGATGTTTCTGTGCTTAGTTAAGATGACAAGTGGAGGGTATCTTTTGCAGGCTGGCCCCTCACTATTTGGTGGATTTTCGTTTGAATTTGCTAAATGGCCAACAAAACTACCTCTGCATGCTACCTTACCAACCATTATTGTCTTTTCTAAGGAGCCGTGTCTTCTCATGATATGTTCTCCAAAATATGTCACAGTTTAGTCATCTTGGCTTCTATGGAAATGGGTTTCATTTACTTTAATATCCATTTATTTGTCTTTTTCCCATTTGTCTTTTATTTGTCTGTAGTATCTGTAGAACTCTTCTCCAGCACCACATTTCAGATGAGTTGATTTTCTTCCTATCAACTTTCTTTCTTTCTTTCTTTCTTTCTGTTAGTCTCAAAGATGCTGCAAGATCCCTCTGCATATTGATATTGGAGACTAACATGGCGATGACTTTGAATTCTAAATGAAAATTTTTGGATCTGCTTGTGCAAAAGAGCTGAGTGTTAAAATGCTTTCCATGGGCCCTTGGGGAAGTCAATTTAGGTGGCAACTCCTGGATTTCTTTTTCTCTTCCAGAAGGTATTGTGCCATCTTCTTTACTAACTAGTGTCTTGACACTTTTCTTCTTCTTCTTCTGACTGTTGCAGGAACAGAGGAGCTTCACCCATTCCAGTGTGTCTCCAGTGCCAGTTCTTCCTCCACTGAATGGATCTCCATCATCAGGATCATATTCACTCTACAACCCTTGGGAGATCAGGAGGGATCAGGACAGGAGCTCCTCATCCTCTTTCAATCGCAGTTGCAGGTGATCTCTCTAGTTTACTAAAGTGTTACCAATAGCTAAGGGTAAGATCCCCAGAAGTTCCTGATTCAAAGATCAGCATTCAACAATTCAGCAGGTTGCTTTCCATTTATATTTCGTTCCTAAGTTTTATCTGAACTAGGGGAAGAATAATGACAACTTAACTTACACAATGTACTGTAGTGGTTTGAGTGTTGGACTACAACTCCTAGAGTCCAGGGTTCAATTCCCTGCTCAGCCACGTAAACCCATTGGGTGACTCTGGGCAAGTCACACTCTTTCAGAGGATGGCAATGGTAAACCTCCTCTTAATAAATCTTGTCAAGGAAACCCAATGATAAGTTTGGCTTGAGGTCATCATAAGTTGGAAATGACTTGGAGACACACCACTACCATAACAGCAAATTTACAGATTGGTTGTACAGACTAATGAAACCATCGCCTCAATACAGCATCTCTTCAGCATAGTGTAATGAACCACATATGGACTTTACAGTTGTTGTTGTGTGCTTTGCACTTGTTGTTTTGGCCTTCTCTGTCAGAGAGCTCTGTGCCACAACAAACTACAGCTCCCAGGATTCCATAGCATTGAGCCATGGCAATTAAAGTGGTGCCAAATTGGATTATTTCTGCAGTGCAGATGAAGCCTTTTTCCTTAGCTGGTGATAGGTACAGGGGTATATCCCTTTGCCTTCCTTAGACAGGTTGGTGGTGGTTCACTTTGCTAGTGGGGAAGAGATTAGCCTCCTTCTGCAAGGTCTCTTTCTTTCAGGATGCTTTGGTGCTTTCTAAACCTGTAATATCATCCTTTAGGACCTTTATGGCCCATTTCTGAGAGCCAGGCTGGGCAAGGGTTAACGCGAAGCTACTGTTGACAAGTCTGGAGGTTGGGCAGGTCTGGGCATCATTTGCAGGGAGTGTCCTTGCAAACATTTTCAAAGAGAGACAGAGAGAGACAGGTAACACTTCCACCAGGAAGAGAGGCTTTCAGGTGAGAGAGAAACAGGATGATTCCTCATTATTCAAAGGGTTGGTCCTTGTGTGGGTCCTTTATACCTAGTCACCCTCTGTGACACCTCCTTGGCATGAAGCAAAGGCTCCACTTACTGCCTCATATGCCCATTTTCCATTTGTGATCTGTTTCCTGGAGGTGTGGTGGTTAATAAAGCTTTAAAGGACCTGTCAGGAAGTTTGCTTTGGTTAGTGGGACTTTTGAGAATCGCAAGTGGAGGAGACTGGGACTCCATGGAGTAAAGATTTAATTTGCACGCCTCCCTATAGTATCACAAGTCTGAAATATCTTCCTGACTGGTCTGTTTTGGCTGTCGTTTCTTGAAGGACTGGGAACTGCTTGAATTCAAAGATATAGCTGTGTTAGTTTGTAGAATCAGTACACAGAGAGATCTTGTAGCACCTTTGAGACTAACTAACTGAAAGAAAGAAGCTTTCATAGACTCAAGTCTCCTTTCTCCAAATGCATCTGAGGTTGACTTAAGTCTAGGAAAGCTCATGCTGCCAACTTCTTTCTTTCAGTTAGTCTCAAAGGTGATACAAGATCTCTCTACATACTGGGAACTGCTTGTTTAGAAAGGAGAAGTGGTTGCATGGCTTCTCTTGAGTTGGTGGATGGATGACTTGTGTGGGGATGCAATTGTCACTGCTGCCCAACCTGAAGCAAGTTAAGTTTCAAGTTGGGTAGGTTGTAGGGCCTTGTCTGGAGCAGAATGTTCCTTCTTCTCCATACACATGACAAGACTTCAGGAGTCTCACATCCTTCCTCTAAAGCCCTTGCTTCCAGAAGCATTTTGCAGGGTGGTTACCTGGATCTTCCCCAGCCCCACTTCTTTTTCAAAGCTCAGCAGAAAAGGATAGTGATTACTGATGACTGGTTTGTCCTGCCCTCCTGGATAAAAGCTTGAGGGATTCCCTCCCCACCCCAAGCCTAACTTGTTCTTGTCTTCTTCTAGTCTGGATTCAGAGCCAGCCATGCATCGTTTGGAAGGGGACTCCGAGGTCTACAAGATGATGCAAGAAAACCGTGAAACCAGGGCCCCGCCACGACAGTCCAGCACATTCCGCTTGCTCCAGGTGGCTCTGGAGTTGGATGAAAAAGGTGAGCAACAAGAATGCACGCTTGTGTGTTTGCATATCTGTGAGTAGGAGGGAAAGATGTGACTCCATTCTGAAACGTGTCCCTTTGCAATACCCTTCATATTCCTGGCTTCTTTATTCTTCTGCTCCATCGGGTTTGTCTGAAACATTTTTTTGAGCTGGTGCAAAGATAAGTGCCCTTGCTGTTGGAGGCAAAGGCAAACTCCTAAGATGAAAGGATGCATGACCCACCTGTAACTGGTAGACAGGCCAACTAAAGCTTGTTTATATCTGCGACTATTCGTGTTCTGCTGTGTTGAGATGAAAGGGAACAAAAAGGAAAATATTCAGATGACCCCTTTCCACCCAATAGCTTTGACTTCCTAAGCTTACATTTATCTCACATTTTCTTCATTCTAAAAAAGCTCCTTGATTTTGCTAATATTAAATTTTGGTAACATGAAGACATTGTTTCAGTATAATAGTTTTATAGCTGCACATCAGTGTCCTTGAACTGCTAGTTAGCTGTGTACCAATTGAAAGGGGAAGAAAACCCTGTTGCTTTAGCAGCTGCCCCTCCAAGAAGTGTGGACTGGTGGATTTCCACGATCCCTATGTAATCCCTGAATTAGTGAATACATAGGGATCATGAATACAAACCACTCTAACCTTTGCATTCATAACTGCCTACGGCCGTATTCACATTACAGAAATAAAGCCATTTGACACCACTTTTAACTGGCATGATTCAATGCTATAGAATTCTAAGATTTGTAGTTTTGTAAGATATTTACAAAACACACCAGTGTG